ATATAAAACATATTTAAACTGTGAGCTATATATCATGGGGAAAGAGTCCATCATATCCTTGAGTTGGTCACAGAGAGGACAGGGTGTCAGTTCTCCCTTAAGGATCAATACCTTACCCACAGCTACCAGGTGACCACTCCAACACAGAGCTACCATATTCCAGTCTCCTTCAACATTTCCCCATTACCTGCAAGATGGCGCCTACATGCTGACTGGCACATAAGGCCTTCTACGATTGTTCCCAATCTGCAGTTCCAAAGCAGACCCCCCATGCTCTGGCTTCATTTCAGTCAAACCGATGGTGTGGCAGAAAAAAAAAAAATGGCACGCTTGGAAGTCATCTGGATTTAAATCCTAGCTCCACTTCTTGTTAGTCAGGTAGTTTAAGGTTCCTGAGCTGGAAAATGATTAAAATACAACTACTTCACAAAGTTGTCTAAGGATTAAATGAAATAGAACATATCAAGCCCTAAAAGTGGGTGCTCAATCATTGCTTGTTAGCTTTTGGAACCGATTTGTTAGTTTTTTCTAAAAGCCTTTATCTCATGGTCCTGTAGCTCTCATAACCTTGTAATTAGGCCTTACATGACCTCCTGAAGAGCACTCTCCATTTCCCTCATCACAGAGATGTCTACCAAGACCAACACTTTGAATACAACTCAGGAAACAACATACTACAATAGAAAGTTTTTGTCTTTTCCCATGAGCCTTCTGAAACTTTTCTGGCTTTGAATTCTTAACTCATTAGCTATTTTAAAAATTGATGTAAGTGGTTTGTTTATCACTAAATGAACTAAGATAAAAAGGGAAGGGGTGGTCTTAACGTCAAGAAAACCTTAGGTGAATACATAGACGCTTTTCTCTTTTTATAATATGCTCTTAATCTTTGGAGGCTCTGGACTATCCCAGAATTGCGATGGCTTATGCTTGGACACTAGGCGTATGTTCTTATTTTAAGCTGAATGCAATGGTATCTTACCCCAGGGAGGAAGGTCTGCAAAGCAAACTCACAGCTGACCTGGTTCCCTAACCCGGGCCCTCTCCGGGTTCTCTGAGACCCCCGGAGCCCGATCATCACAAAGGCTACCTGCCAAGTTTCAAGGAAACCAAAGATCATCGAACATTTACAACTCACAGGGGTGCCTTGAGGAATAAATAAGATAAAAGTGCGGGGAAACTCTCAAACTCCGAGACTCCATTAGAAATGCTAATTGCTGCCTTCACAACCTATATTTAAAAGTTAGAAAACCCAAGGACATACTCCCGAGCTCGGGGACGTTAGGCTCCTCCGAGGCTCAGGCTAGGGGGCCCGGGCGCCTCCGGCCCCCGCCGACTCCGCACGGTACGATGCGGGACACTCGGGTCCACAGCGATTCCGCCCCCGACGGGGCTCCTCACAGCACTTCCATCACCACCCGTCCCAGAAAAAGCGGGGTTCGGACTCTGGGCCCCCAATTGGGTGGGGGAGCAGGAGGCGAACCCAATCGCGCCTGCTCCGCGCCCTCTTCGCCTCTCGCGCCTTCGCTGGCTTGGGGTTCGGTTGGGTTCAGCCTCCGCGGACGGCCTGGGCTTGACGGATCCCCGAAACTCGGCAGTAAAGCCTCCCCCCGAGTCCTCCGGGCAAGCGCTCAAGGGCGGGCTGGAGAGCCGCCCGCGGGCGCGGCGAGGTGCGGTCGGGCGGGGGCGGCGGGGGTCTCGGCCGGGCGCGGGCGGGGAAGCCCCCGAGGAAGGGCTTACATCAGACACTCCACGTGCACTCGCGGGGAGGCAGGAAGTGGCTCCGGCCCCGGCTGCGCCCTACCCCAGCCTCCGCCCCTCCCGCCGCGCGTCTCCCCGCCCCGTCCTTGGTGCAGCCGCGGCGGCCGAGCCGAGCGGCTCCGCGCGGGGCCGAGTCGAGCCGAGCCCAGCAGCCGCCCGCGCCGCGTCGCCGGTTTAAGCGCAGTGCGGGGCCGCGGCCGGGGGCGGCGGTAGTGAGACCAACGCCGCGCTCCAGCCCCCTTTTTCCCTCCATGGTTTCTCTCCGCTCCCGCGAGTAACTTGGCTCCGGGGGCTCCGCTCGCCTGCCCGCCTGCCGCCCGCCGCCCGCCGCCCGGGATCGCGCCGCCGGCCGCTGCAGCGAGCAGACCCCTCCTGACGGCCCTCGCTGCGCAGGCCGGGCCGCCTCTCCCCCCTCCGCCCCTGCCGCGGAAAGTTAAGTTTGAAGAGGGGGGAAGAGGGAATCATGGAAATGAAGAAGAGGATCCACCTAGAGCTGAGGAACCGGACCCCGGCCGCTGTAAGCAGAGCCCCTGCGGGCGCCCTCTCCCTTCCATGACTTGCATGTAATGGTGGCCACCTGCGGGGCCCAGGCCGCGGGTTCGCCGGCCCGGCGCGGGGTAGGGCGCAGCTCGCGGGCTCGGACGGGGAAGGCGGGCGGACAGGCGGGCGGGCGGGCGGGCGCGGAGGGGGGAGTGAGCGCGCGGGGATTAACTCTTTGGCGCCCGCGGGCCCCCGCGGCCGGCCGGGAAGGCGGTGGGGTGAGGGGGAGCAAACTTTGAGCTCCTCGCCTGCCGGGGGCCTTCCCCAGAGGAGCGCGTGTGCGTTTGGCCGGCGGCGAAGGAGGGAGGAGGGGGTTGTGTAACGCTGGGAGCCATGTTTGCAGCCTCCCGGGATGCGCGGCCGGGCGGAGGCCGGGCCTGCGGAGGAGCCGCGCGGCCAGCCCGGGCTGGGCCCGCCGCAGGCCGGGCCGGTCTCCGCGCGCCCCGGGCCGGCGGGGAAAGGGGCGCGGGCGGGGGTCTTTCTGGCAAGGTTTCGCGGTTGGCGCCGGCCGTGCCGAGGACCGAGGCCATGGTACGAGGAGGGGGCTTTTCTCCTTCGAGGGGGGGGGGAGAAGCCCCCATCACGCGCCGGGGGGCTTAGGCGGGCGCGGCCTGGCGCGCGCGGGGCGGGGGAGGGGCGAGCCGGGGCGGCGGAGGTGGCGCAACCGCCGCCCCTCCCGGGGCCAAGTTTGAAAAAAGGACGCGGTTCCCGCCATTTTTCAAGCCTAAAAATAAAACTTTTACCCCCGTTTCTCTGGCTCCCCTTTCGCGCTCGGGGCCTCCCCCCCTCCCGACCTCCCAGGGCGGACCCCGGTCGACCCCCCGCGGCCGTGTACCGGCAGGCTGCGCCCTAGCCCCGCGTCGCCGCGGCGGAGCCGGGGGGCCCCTGCCCGGGAGGCTGGCCCCTCGGTGTGGGCGGGCGGCGGCTCCTCGCGCCAGTCGGGGCGCGCCACAGGCCGACAGCGCCATGTTGGCGGGCGCCCGTCTCCCTCCGCCGCGCGAGCCGCCGTGCGGGCCCGACCAGCTTTGCGGGCCCGGGCCGCTTGCCCGGCCGCGGAGAGGTTTGCGGGCCGCAGTTGTCTGAGCTGGGCCCGGGCACGGCTCGCGCGGAAGGGAGCCGCGCGCGGCGGCTGCCGCCGACTCATCTCTTCCCGGGCGCGCTGCCGTCTCCCTCTCCCTTTCTTAAAAGGGCAACGCCTGGCGGCGCCTGCGCCCGAACCTGGCGCGGGGGTTCGGGCGGGCCTAGGCCGGGCTCGCGGGCCTGGCGGCCTCTGCCCCTGCACGTGCTCGAGCGCGGGGCACTACCGCGGCGGCTGCGCGGCGGGCGGGCGGGGCGGCCTTTAAGAATCGCTTCTTTCTTCTCCGCCCCACCCCTCCCCGCGAGCTAGTCGGGCTGTCCGCGGTGGGCGCCGGGCCCTGCTCTCCCCCCGCGCGGCACCGAGCCCGGGCCGGACCCGCTCCCCGGGTGAGTGGCGTTCTCCGCCGGAGGAAACCCGCCCACCCGGGCGACCGGCGCGTTTGGTGCCGTCAGGTAGTCGCGGGTAACAAGTTGCCAACTTGTGGAAATTCGTCGACCAGGGTGTCCTGGTCTGCGAGGGTTTGTGCCCCCGAAGTCACTACAAATGAGGTGCGTGGCTGGCCCCACCGCGTGGCCGCCCCACGTGTCCCTGGAGGACCTGAAGGGATGGCATCTCCCCTCGGTCCCCGGGGTTTAAGATTGCGGTTTGACCACGATGCGATGGTCCCTTCCAACCATCAGTCAGACATTTTGTGTCGACCACGTGCTGGGATCTTGACTGGTTAAGCCTCTTCACACAGTTAAAAACTTGAGTTGTGTTCTCGCCTTGAGAATTAATCTTTTCAGACGCATGCGTTATTATTGCATAGTGGCAGATAAGTCGTCTGTGGAATAATTAATTTAGCCACAACTTCCAAAGGAAAATACACATGGATCTAGCAAGCGCTTTTAAAATTCTTTGCATGTATTCAAACCAAAGTATTAATAAAATGTTGGGTAAGAGCAGTGTTGCTCCCTCTGGGAGCTAAAGCCAAGCTGGTGTTCTCACTGTGTGGAACTTTTTCATATATTAAGTTAATGATTTTTAGAAATACCTACAGAAGTGCAAATGTTCATATTTCAAGTAATCAGTTTGGGCTTAATTATCTTGCTGAAGACAGATCAGAATCTTGTGGTTTTTTAAAATTAAAAGGTCAGTTGGTTAGTTACACCGTCCATACTTAAAAGTGCTCAAAATCCTGAAGTGACTAGTGGGTTCCTTGTTGAACAACACTTGCTTACAGAATCCACTGCCAAAAGTATACCAGAGCTTGGAAAAGCAGTGTGAACAACAGTCAGCTGTCCCCTCTCCCCAGAAACCTTAAACTAACCTGATGGTGGTGCCTGATCCTGTATAGTTGAAGCTACCAGGCCTCGGTTAGGAGTGTCATCGTGGCAGTCCCCCACGATTGTGGGGTTAGAGAAAGCCTCCCCTAAGCACTTCAACAGGGAAACAGGCTAGTGGGAATTAGATTCCTTGGAGAGTAAAGATTTAACCAAAAATTGAAGGCTTTTATAGAAAAGCTATACATTTTGAAGGAAATTTAAAAGTGGGGTTTAAAAGTTTTGCACAGAAGCATCATTTTTTAGGCAAAATGAGAACTTCCCTGGTGACTCCTTTAAAACCAAACCCAGTCATGACTTACGTTTGTTGTGAGGTGAACTGCTGAGGTTCCCCCTCTGGGGTCCTTGTAGCCTTGTCATTTGGGAAAACAGGAAGACTGTACCTACATTTTAATAGAAGAAAAGTTAGGTACAGATAAGCCAAAAAAAAATAGGTATAGAAAATCAGAAGTTAAAAAAGGAATACATAAACCCGTTACCCTTTACACAATCTTTGTGTATTTTTCCATAATGTCTAATTTTTTCCAAGCTTGGATTGTGTGTACTATCTTGTTGTGTGTGTATGCATATATGATAGATAATATCTTTATGTTACTGTTATTGTTAATGCATAGATCATAAATTAACCATCCCCATGAATAGTTAAAAGGGTTTTTTTTAATTATTATTTTGTTTTTTTTGGAGATGGTTTAAATGATTATCTAGTCATGTGAATCTGTCTTGTCATTTGCTTTTCAGATTGGTTTACCTATCCATCCATAAGGATATGGGTGTTTCCCTCCATGCCACTAATTCTGCCATTTAGACATCTGAGAACCACTGACTTAAATGTGCTGTTAATCATTTTGAAAGCATTCTTTTATGATATTCATAGGGTAGAAGGTTTGAACGTTGGTTAACTCACAATGGAAACTGGCAAGGATAAGAGGAGTTAACTTTTTTCACACTTTCGGACTGTTATACTTACTACAATAATATATTGTTTCTTTTCTTTCTAAAGAATTATTTTTATTTATTTATGCATACAAGAACTGGAGTGTAGGCCCCAAGTGCAGGAGGTGAGAGGACCCACCAGAGACAGAGTGGGGAACAGAACAGATGTATCTACTGAAATACACTGCTGAGGGGAGCAGCAGGCTAGACAGGAGAGGTCTGCTGTGTCATGTGGGTTAGCTCCCTGGCCAGAATAGCCTCATGCCTCAGTGGCAGGGGGTAGATTGAGAGCCCTGAGACTTAACCCTTGCTCCACAAGTCCCTGAGACTTAACCCTAGCTTCTTTTCTCATTAAAAGAATTGATAATTCAAAATGATCTTTAATTCTTCCATGCCCTTTCTCCCTTTATTATTGCAGAAACAGCTTCTAATTGGGGGAGGTCACCTAACCAATTAGGTAAAACCTGTTTTTCCTTTAGAGTAGCCAGGGGAGTGAGAAGTGTGAGCAGGTTGGAAAGAATGGCAGAAAAATCTCTCCTGTTTCCTCTGTGTCCTCTACCTCCACCACCACCCCACCCCTTGCCCCCAACTTGGCTACAGTATAGTTCAAACATTCCAGTGAAAAAGTAGTAGAAAACATTACTAATTTGCTGAGAGCTATAGGAGACAAAAACAGGAGTTAAATAGGAAATAGTATGGGATTTTGTTTTTAGTTTTTAAATGTTTGCCTTAAATTTGTGTTTCAGCAAAAGCTAGTTTAATTGAAGAGTCATAAATGGATTGTCCCCCAAAGTTAGACCATCTATCTATATCTTTGAACAGAAGGTCAGTTAATTCTCCCTTGAACCAAATAGCTCCCTAAGTTGTACACACAGTTACACATGTGCCTGTGCAACCTCCCTTCCTTATCTAGTAACCCTAGGAGAATTTGGAACAAAAGAAAGAAACTAGAGCCATTTCTTATTCGTTAAAGCGTCCATGTATTCTGGATCTAGACTGGGAGGCTGTGGGGTTATATGCTCTTCCTCTCCCCGCCTGGTGCACCCTTGTCCACTGTTATCTCCTCTGCAAGGCAGTCTGGATCCCTTCATACTCAGGAAGGCCTGGGGACTCAGTTATCACAAATGCTGATGACGCAGTGCCTGAGGACAGACACCTTTTCACCAAGGTTCAGTTGAGAACTTGAGTCAGAGGAGAAGGCTAAAATTTTCGGCAGGCTTTACAGACCTGTCATCTCTGGGGAGATGCGTGGGCCCTTCCCATGGTCTCTCCACTAATTCCCACTCTGCTCTGTGCTCATTCCCCAGTGACTCTGGAGTTCTGTTCTAGGGGTAGCATGTTTTCTTCACTACATTTGCAGCCTTCCTGGAAAAAATCAAGGGGCAAGTCTTTGCTTAGCCAAACAACCCTCTGCCCTGCTCACCCCAGTATATTCTTTTGCCTCCTACTCATGGAGAAAATTGAAGGTTTGTGTGTGCATTCCTTGAACTTCTTGCTCTCCCACTTTCAAACTCACCTACACCTATTTCTAGTCTTCAACTCACCCCACCTCCAACAAGAGTAGAGTCTCATTTTTGATCCACAGTTTTGTTTTGCTTTTTTTAATTTAATAGTAGTTAAACAGTTTCTTAGTGTTTATTGCCTATGTGTTTTTGTTTTTAAGAGGCATGTATTTATTTATTTGTTTGTTTGTTTATTTGTACATGCACTGGGTACAGTCAGAAGCGCGGGAGGGTGAAAATTCACCAGAGCCAGAGCGGGGAGCAGAGCAGGCAGAGGGACCGAGGTACACTGCTGAGGGGAGCAGTAGGCGGCAGGAGAGGTCTGCGCGCCATGTGGGACCCTCCTCCAGTGGCCAGGGAGCAGCTGGGGATCGAACCGGCGCCGCAGAGGCTGCAGGCAGCTTCGCAACCCAGCGCTCAACCGCTGTGCCACCGGGGAGGCCCCTGCCTATGTGTTTTTTATGACTTGTCTCTTCTCTGTTTTTCCTTAGGGTAAAAACAGTTTCTTCAAGAAAATAAGTGCAAATATGTAGAATTTCTATATATCAGGAAAGGTCATAAAATTAAAGTCAAATTGGAAGAGAATTTTACAGTAAATGTTAATAAGGGTTAGTTAACCATTTCAAGTAAAGAACTCATAACTCAGTAACAGACTGAAATATTTGTATTCTCTCACCTAGCAGTAGACTGTTGAGAAAACTCTTAGTTATAGGAGAGATAAATTTTACATAAAAAAGATTATGGCATTAATGTTAGAAATAGTCAAAAGGGTAGGATTGTACGGTAAGTTATTCTGCACCTATACTTTATTAAAACACTTAGTGTTTCTAAATAGTTTTATCTTGCCTGTATTTAAAGTATACAAAGACTAAAAAATATATACTAAAATATTAAGTGATAAACATTAATGTACTTTGCATTAATGTGATTCTGCTTATAATCAGAAAAATGGGTTCTCTTTATAAAAGTCATGTTTTCTCTGATTTTCATTATTGCTCAATTCCCTAAATTCTTATACAGACTCCTGTCCAGTACTTACACAAACCTGTGCCCATATTTTCTCATTCAACAGTTGTGGAGGCTCTTTCTTATGCTGAGCTCTTTCTTATACTGAAACTTGATGAAACTTAAAGACTAGCACTGACTTATTTATTATTTACCTTTTTAAAATATGTTAGTATTCTCATTAAAATGCTAAATAAGAAAAAATCTCCTGGCCCGTTTACTTTTCTTCTTGTAGGTATTATTCTTGAGAAATGTTTATGTACATAATAAAGTGAATGCTATGTCGCATTAATAACATTCTCTACATTTGTTATCTCATAGTATATCCTGGAATTGAGTCCCTTGTTGATGAAGCATGAGTGTTACATTCTAATTTTTTTTTAAATAACTTCTTGTGCATTGTTTCATAAACCTTTATGGTTTTTTGAATCTAATACTTTACTTTTGGGTACCACTCCTGATTCTTCTCAGGTCTCCTTTGCAGTATTCCTCAGGGGTCTATCTTTGGTCCTCTTCCTGGTAATTCTATCCTGCCACTGCTCTGCCCTGACTTCTTGCAAATACAGAACTTAGAACCCAGACCTCCCTTGAACTCCACACATGTCCAGCTACCTGTGGACATTCCACGGGAATCTTAAACTTGGTTTTCATTACACACACACACACACCCCCCAAATAAAAACTGTACTTTCTGTCTAACTAAATGGTTCCCATTTCTCTAAACCAGAACCCCAGTTACTTTCCATCATCCATACCCAATAACCAAATCCGCAAATTCAAACCACATTAGCACCTTTTTATCTCCCACTTTTCCTTTTCTTGATTGTATTCTGCTGTTTGGTTCATCAGACATGCTCTAATTCACGTATAAATGCTGTATGGTTTTTGATGGCACTAGTTAGAGTGGAATTTTACCAGTTGGGAAAAATGTAGAATGGGTGATTTTTACCCAGTAAGCTGGGAGGCAGAATGAGAACATTTTAATAGTATGAAGTATGCTACCTAGGTGACTGGGTGATTAAAATTGACCTTTATTTTATGGTTTGTTGGGTTTGCATTTTTCCCTCACACAAAAGCAATAATATGCTTTTTTTTTTTTTTCTAAACAACAAAAAACTTAGGTTACAGATTGGAATAAAAGGTCCCTGTCATTCCCTTAAAATTTATTTTCCCAGCATTTAATGTGTCCCAATCATTACTCTCTACAACTCCATGAGGTGGCTATTATCTTCACTTTACAGATGAGAAAACTGAGGCACAGAGTTTTTAAGTTACTTGACGAGGTCATACAAGATGTAATTTGCAGAAATCGGGATTTAACCCCAGCCATGTGTGTCTCCTGAGCCTAGCTCTCTTCAGTTGACCTCTTAAGTTTTCCCTGGTGTTGATTTTCATCAGAAGAGGGTGAAAGGGTAGAGATATCTGGAGAAAAATTGAAGGAAAAGTGAGAATTAAAAGGTAGTAATAAGCCTGCGTGATCCCTAAACCAGGACTTCTGCAGAGGAAATAGGGTAGTGAAAAGTGATGAAGTGAGTGAGAAGAAGTTGTGGTATTGTGGGTATCACTGATTCTCTAAATCTGTTTCCTTCTTTGAATGGGGGGGAGGGGTATGGTGATACAATTAAGGAGTAGGTTCTCCATGAATGATAACAATTACTAGAGTAGTAGTTTTGAGTTTTATATGGGAGGATGAAGACACTACTAGTACCTTGACTCACTTTAGAACTGTCAACATCTCCTTTCTATATACATGCTTGATTAAAGCTATTAAACTGGTTATTCACTGCAAGAATGTCTTTGACAGTTAAAACTGTAGTTTGCGTCACTGTAAATTGATTTAAATCTATTTAAAAGTCATGTTTCAGAGTCAGCCACAGAGCAAGAATGGCAGTAAAGGGCACTGTTATGGTAGTCACACAGTTTAACAGTGTACACAGCTGACT